AATAAAAAATATTATAAAAAGAACAAAATTTTTTTCAATATTTTTTATTTTATGATTTTTTGGATATTTTTATGAATAATTTAGAAAAAAGTGAAAAAAATAATATTTTAAAAAATGATTTAATTAAAATACGAAAATAATAATTAAATAATAATAAAAAACTATTTTTGTTATTTTTTTAATGAAAGATAGAAAAATTTAGAGTAAAAATAATAAAAAACAAAAAAAATGACAAAGGTGAGATTCGAACTCTCAACCTCTCACACTCATAACTCCTTACACATGTCCTCCTGCCAATTGTGCCATTTTTACTTTTTAGAAAAAAAATGCATGCCATATGATATTTACCTTTTAACTGCATTGACTGCTTTTGACTTATCTGATCATCTGACTGAGCAAACTTTTGAGAAAAGTCTTGAAACTTGACATGGGGGTTCTTATACACATATAAGATGTTATGAAGCTCACTTGAAGTCTTGGAAGTCCATTTAGCCTGATTAAAGTCAAAACCCTAGTTTTGGATGCACTGCTTAGGAGGTGCATTGTCTGAGGGAATTGTCAACTCTTCTGACCAATTGTGAATTTTGTGAACCTTGTGAACCTTCTTGGAACACAAAGTCTTGTATTGTGAGGGCAAATTTTGGGGTGCAACAATTACCGGCCCAACCCCTTTTATTTTTCTTTTTTTTTTGTTTTTTATAATTAGTTATTTTAAATTTTATTAAAACTTTTTTAACTAAATATAAATTGTTTTTTTAAAATAATAACTCTAAATCCTAACTAAAGCCATTTTTAAAAATAAACCTTAAAAGTAAAACCTTTTTTTAATAATTAAATTAAAACTATTTTTAAAAAATAAAACTTAAATTTTTTTTTTTTATGTTTAAACATCTTTTTAACTTAAATCAAAACCTTTTCTTTAAAAACAACAAAAACCTTCAACATTGCACTCTTGTCTCATGACTCGTCCAATTACCGTCTGACTTTGCCTACTAACGCGTGTGTTCATTTTTGCAGCTTATTACGTTGTGTTTTTATTTAAATTTTATCATATTGTATTTGCTCCTCTCATGTAACCTCGCGAATCCTAACAATCGCGCTTTAGTTTCTGTCTTTAAGTTTCTGCTTGTATGGCTTACTGTCTGCATTTTATCTCTGTTTGCATGATTCAATTTCTCACACTTTCACCAATTATTCTGTCACACTACACACATCCGAAGGTTAGGTTTAGCTTTTTGGTCGCCGCGCCAATAGTCCTCAACTTCAAACCCTACAAAATTACAAACCCTAATTTTCATAAATGCCTCGCCGCGGGCAAGATTACAATTTTACCCCTAGCATTAGGTCAAAGAGCCACCGCGCTCATTTTAGGGTTTCCCGCCGTGGAATCCCTAATTTAACCCTAATTACAACTTAACAATTCAACGTAGAGATTTGGAGTTTCTACACTCCACGTAAGCGTGTCCTTAAGATGCGTTTATTCCCCTTGAGACCTTGACCACAGTCAAGAAGTCTCTAACCTCCCTTTTGAGAGGAACTACGATTACTCTGATTCCACTCCCGTAAGGATATGTAGGCACAAGATGCGACGTCTTGCCGAGTAAACTTAGAACTAACCCCTTAGGTTTATTTTCTCACTTCTAATCCTTTGTACATATACCTTAAGCAAATAAATAAAGCAAAATAGTAAACATTTGAACAAAAGGTTCCCGTAGAGTACTACGGAAGTTTAGGGTGCTAATACCTTCCCTAAATTTAACCAACCCCCGAACCCTAGATCTTTCCCCGCATTGTGTTTACGATGCAAAATAGGTTTTCCCTCTTTTGACCTTTTCCTTCGGATAAATCAAAGAGCGGTTGTGAATTGAATTGCGATTCAAACTCATTAATAGTTTGTGATCCTATTTCCACCGCAACAGACGGTGTAGTTCCTATTGGCTATAGACCTAGCGTGCTCCGCTTTTTTGTTGTAATCCTTTGAAAGTGGTGTTTGTCGTGTTTGTTTTAGAGTTTTTTTAAAGTGATTTGTTAATTTTTGATTCTATATTTTTTTCTTATTATTTGTCTATTGACTCGTTTTTTATTATAGTTGTTGATATTCGTTATGTCAAATATTTTGTTAAGATTTCCTTTTTATTATTAATTGATCTGACCTGATCAGGAGGGGATCACGGGCTGGTCACACGCGGTTGGACGGTTACCTGTTCAACGGTGATGAAGAAGAAGAGGGGGGTGTACCTGCAAGACACTCCGATGTCAAGGTAAAAATTTGGGCAGAGTGAGAGCAAAGTACATAAATGGGGGTAAGAAGTGAATTACCTGACCCTCTTGTGGAAGAGGGTATTTATAGAGAGACCCCAGCGCTGGGCCAACGGTCATTTGAGGTGGGCTGGATGACCAGGCCCAACCCTAATGACTGCTAGGGCTTACGTGGCGTAGTGAAGACCAGAACGTGGTCTTCGCCCTAGTCCAACCGTCCCGTGATCTCCGAAAAGTGGGTTTGACCTGCTCTTTCGGAGGTGGGCAGTTGGGAGATGACGTGTCCCCGCGGAGGGGAGCACGTGGAGAACGTGCACCGGCCACGTTGTTCTCCCCGCGGAGGGGAGCTTGCGAGGTTCCCCGGAGGGCGTTGTTCTCCCCGCGGAGGGGAGCACGCGAGGACGTGGGAGAACCAAGGGTTCTTGCCCGATGGCACGGGGAATGTCGCCCGCGGAGGGCGCTCTGTTCGGCTAACAGGGGGGCCGAGGACGCTTCGAGACGTGCCATTCTGTTTGGCGGGGAGCGTGTCCTGCCCGTCCTAGGGAGATGTGTGCCCGGTCAAGTTATTCCACTTATTGGGCCTTGTGCGTTATTGGACTGGACCGCGAGGCTGGGCCCAGACCAGAACAATATTTAAAAATATATAATTGATTAGTATATGTGTCAAGAAAATAATCTTCAAACAATATGCATATGTTTAAAAGAGAAAGAAAATTCTATATATATATATATATATATATATATATATATATATATATATATATATATATATATATATATATATATATATATATATATATATATATATATATATATATATATATATATATATATATATATATATATATATATATATATATATATATATATATATATATATATATATATATATATATATATATATATATATATATATATATATATATATATATATATATATATATATATATATATATATATATATATATATATATATATATATATATATATATATATATATATATATATATATATATATATATATATATATATATATATATATATATATATATATATATATCATCAGGGGTATTATAGATTAAAAATGATATGAACCTAGCTAACAATAAATGTAGTTTTGCTTATATATATATATATAAGTAATGAAAGAAAATGATATGGAAGTTTTGCAATAAATGTAGTTTGCTACTAAGTACTAGTTTAAAAAAATATATAGTTTGGTACTTCGTACTAGTTTCTTTGTTTCACAACCATTTGTTAGGCTGCATATAAGTCATTAAAAGGGAGAGAAAAGGTATGAACCTAGCTAACAATATAACAATTTGGCATTTCCATTATTAAATGGTAAAGGACATATATCATATAAAAAATAATGTTACAGCTCATAGATATAGTTGATACCATGTAATTGACAAAATAAATGGTATTAGGCATGAAAATATAATTCATATTTGCAGGTATTTATTCGAATTTTTCTTGAAATTGACTGGGAAAACTCGTTTTGTCTGGGTTTGCATTTGGATTTGGATTTTTTCCGATTAAAAAATATGGGGACGAATAAGGTAATGGAGACACTAGTACCCATCCCGAATCCGCCTCCAAATTTCTCCCGTCTATTAAATGCACTTTTATTAAAATTGTCCCTAGATAATTATCACAGAGAAAAAAAGTAAAATGAATGTAATAAATAATTAGGGGTATTATAGATTAAAAAAAATTTATTGTAAAAGAAATAACAATACTTAATATTGATGAGTATGCGTAAAAAATTAAAAAATAGACACTTAAAAAAAGTGAGAGAGTAATATATAGCTTGAGATGAAGCAAGTAACATTTAAATAAGAAAACACGTGTATGTAGAAAACATGTGTTTATTATAAATCAAGATACAGGATTGCTATGTTGACACCCATCTTTACACCCTACATCTCAATTACTGTTCACAAATACTTGAACAAATTCCCCAGAATATGGTTAATAGTGTGTATTTTATTGGTTAATGAAGTAGTGAAAGTGGTTAATAAATTATAGGTAAAATAATTGGTTAATAATGTAGATTTTTGTGGTTAATACAACTGTGAAGTTGGTTAATGCGCAATCTTATATTTGTGTTATAAAATAAATTTTAAAAATAAATACTTTTTTAAAAAAAAATTAATATTTTAAAAAAATATATTATTTTAATAAAAAAAACACCGTTCACCGTATAAATACGGTGAATAGTGCATAAGGTGTAAGTATTGGGTGTAGAAAAGGGTGTAGGAATAGCATTTTTCATCAAGATATTCTATTTACACGTGTATGTAGAGAACGTACGTTTATTGCAAATCAAAATATTTTATTTACGTGAATGAATAAATTGATGAATTTGGACATATTTAAATCCACTTCTTTTTCAACTCTATTAAGTCCACTTCTATCCGTTGCGAAAATAATAATAATTGTCTTTTATGTGAGGTAAACCGTCTAATAATAATAATAATAATAACAACAACAACAGCAGCAGAGCCATGGAAGCACGGAAATCACTGACGACGATGGAGACTAGAACACCGGAGGAAGGGGAATCAAGGTGCAATGAGGAGGAAGTGAATGAAGAAGTAGAAACTGAGGAGAAATTAGGGTTTGCTGAAACCCCGATTTAAATAAGGAAAGAGCCACAAATGGAGCAAAAGAGTGATGAAGTAGGAGTCAAGCTATGGGTGGATGTCATTCGTGGAAATAGAACTACTGTGAATGACATGGCAATTCAATTTGTAGCACCAAAGCTTGTTGATGGAGAAATTGAAGTGGAGATTGAAGATGAGGATGTTGAATTAGAGGTGAGATTTTGGGAGTTTTCTATAATAATGTATGTAATTGGAGCTAACCTTAGCATGAATGTTGTGAATAGTTACATGATCAAATTCTGGAATTTGGTCAAATTGCCGAAAACGTATTACAATGATGATGGCTACTTCATGCTGAAGTTCAAATCGAAACGAGATAGGGATGGAATGATGATGAAGAGGCCATACACAATCCACAACATGCCGATGATTCTAATGGACTGGAAACTAGATTTCTCCATAGAGTGTGACATGCTGAGAGCACTTCCTATTTGGATTAAACTTCCGTAGTTGCCTTTGCTGGGTAAGATAGGAAGCGCAATTGGGAGCCCTATGTTTGCGGATGAACGGACTGCCGATAAAGTGAGAGTAACATACACAAGAATGCGTGAAGTAATCAGTATCAAGGATAAGGAAGGAAGGAAAATTCAACAAAAAGTGGGGTATGAATGGAAACCGAAATTTTGTGATAGGTGTCAAAAGATTGGTCATAGGTGCAACAAAGAAAGGAAACCTATGGCCAAGCAATGGAGGCTGAAACCTGATCAATAGGATGGGAAAGAAGGAACTAGTAAGGTGATTCAAGAGGAGGAAATAGGTACACCAAGAGGGACATGGCCAAATAATGAGAAGGATGATAATCAACTCACAACCAAAGAGGTATAGAAGTGGACATAAAAGTTCAGAAAGGAGTAAAGGACAAAAGAAAACAAGTTTTGCAAGGAGTACCAATAAAGTAGGTGAATTGTAAGAATGGATTTGAAACATTGGGGGTTTGGGATGACCTCACAATGGACCAAGATGATGATACATGATAGTCTCTTGGAATGTATGGGGGGCTTAATAAAGCAGTAAAAATTAGAGAGGTTAGCTCCCGTCTCTCAAAGTTGCGCCCTAAGATTATTATTTTGATTGAAACTAGAATTAAAAAGCATAATGCTGATAGGAGTAGGAGAATGTTGAGTTCGCATTGATCTATGGGTGACAATTATAGTAAGTATGAAAATGGTATATTGTGGATTCTTTGGGAAGCTAAAAAGGTAGAATTGAGAATCGTAAGCTGCACAAATCAAATGATTCACTGTGGAGTTGTCAATACTGAGGGTCAATTCATACATTGACTTACAGTAGTTTATGCATCTAATAAACTAGAGGATAGGAAAAGGCTTTGGAAAGATATTGCTGACATAGGTCAGAATCAGAATTGTCCTTAGTGCATAATGGGAGATTACAATAATATTCTAGTACTAAGGATAAGCTTGGAGGAAAACATGTGCATGAATATGAATACAAGGATCTAAAAGGTATGATGAACAACAATGGGTTATTAAAGTGGATAGAAAAAGATATTGGTATATTTGGTCCAGTAAAAGGGATCATTTATACTAGAATTGATAAAGCAGTTGGTAATATGGATTGGTTCCAGCATAATAGTGACAAGATTGTGCATGTCACGGACCCGGGTATCTCAAATCATACCCTGTTGTGCCTCAAGGGAGAAGAGAAAAGGAACAAAATAAAGTCCAATTCAGGTTCATCAACAGTGTAACAGAGGTTGAGGGATATAAAACATAAGTTGAGAGGTGCTGGAGGAAAACTGCTAGTGGGAAACCTATGAAAGTTTTGTGGGAAAAACTTATGAGACTGCAACCAATTTTTTGGAAGTTGAGTGAACCCATTGCTGGCATAAAAAACCAAATTCAAAAAGCTAGAGATGATTTGAGTGAGGCTCAAAAAATGTTGATCAATGATAAGATGAATGTGTCTAAGATTATGGAGGTTAAAAGTCGCACTGAAGAGCTGTTGAAGCTTAATTACATATAGGAGGAAGTCCTTAGGCAAAGAGAAAAAGTTGACTGGATTAGGCTTGGGGACGACAACAATCCTTACTTCCATGTTGCCTTTAAAAGTAGAAAGAGTAAGAACAACATGAAGCATCTCTATAGAGTTTCTATGGGGACCTTATGGGAAGTGCTGGGAGTGACATGGTGGGCATATACATAGTTGCTTTGAAAAATGAGAAGCAACGAACACAAGAACAAAGAACCATGCTTACTGAACCTATCACTAAAAAAGAAATAGGAACTGCCTTGAATAGCATTCGGGAGCTAAGGCTCCAGGGGAAGATGGGTATAGCTCCAAGTTTTTCAAAAAGTTGTGGAATATAGTGAAGCTTGATGTCATAGCAGTTGTGATGGAATTCTTCACTAAAGGTGATTTGAAAGGTAAAATGAATAATACCCTAGTTACTCTAATTACCAAGCATCTCAAGGCTAAAACTATCTATGAATATCATCATATATCTTGCTGTGCAAATGTGTATAAGATTATATCTAAGGTACTGGCTAGTAGATTGAGTACAGTGTTGACTAGTATCATTAGCAATAGCCAGGTATCCTTTGTGACGGGTCATCACATTCATGACCATGTGATGTTGGCTTACGAGTTGGTTAGACGTTATAACAGGAAAGGGGGGATGCCTAGGTGCATGATGCAATTATATATTCAAAAGGCATATGATACCTTGGATTGGCAAGCTCTGCAGATAATTTTACAGGAAATTGGTTTTCCTAGACAGTTCATGGCTGGATAATGAAAGGAGTTACCACAGTTACTTACAGGTTCAACATCAATGGTGTCTACACTAGGGATATGAAGGCTATGAGAGGGCTGGGACAGGGGGATCCCATCTCCCCCATGTTGTTTGTAATTATTATGGAATATCTGCACCGAAAGCTGTCTAATTTGAAAGAGATTCCTGACTTTAACTACCATGCGAAATTTGAGAGATTGAATATTATTGAGATGAGTTTTGCAGATGATCTTTTAATTTTTCAAGAGGTGACAAGAGGTCTATTCAACTGGTGATGGAAAAGTTCAATGCATTTCTAGATCAAATGGTCTGTTCGTGAATCCGAGGAAGTGCAAAATTTATTTTGGGGGCATGGAAGAGGAGATCAAGTAGGATATCATGGTTCTTATAGGCTATGCTAAAGGATACTTGCCTTTCACTTACTTAGGGATACCTATGTCTAGCAAGAAATTAACAAATCATGAACATATTACCTTAGTGGAGAAGATTGGTGGTAGATTGAATCACTGGAGCTCTCATCTTCTCAGTTACGCAGGAAGAGTGAAGTTGATCAAGAGTGTTATATTTGGTATTTCGAATTATTGGTTACATTATATCCGTCTTCCCAAAGGGGTCGCACAAAGATTGAAGGCAATGTGCAGATCATTCTTGTGGACTGGTAAGAGTGAGATTTCGAGGAAATCTCCCGTAGCTTGGAAGATAGTGTGTTTTCCTAAGAAGCAAGGTGGTTTAAATGTGATGGTTGTATCAGAGTGAAATAAAGTGAATCTCTTAAGGTTGTTATGGAACCTTAGTAGTAAACAAGATAACTTGTGGATTAAATGGGTCTACACATATTTTGTGATTATGAGATTTTGGGAATGCCTATTAAATCCTCTGGTTCTTGGATTCTGAAAAGGATTCTCAAGCAAAGGGAGGTAACACATGAGTTGCAGGAATATGACAACAAGCGTGTCAAACTAAGAAATTCCATGTGAAGAAGATTTACTATGAATTGTTGGACCAACATCAAACTGTGCAGTGGAGAAAACTGTTCTATGGCAATGTAGGTCGTCCAAGATCGCTTTTTGTCTTATGGCTTGCTTGCCATGAAAGACTATCAACAAAGGACATGCTATATGGGTTTGGTTTGGTGCAATATAATTTGTAACTTCTGTGGGAAAACCGAAGATATTCATGACCTCTTCTTTGATTGCAAAGAGATGGTGCATATATGGAAGCATATGTTGAAGTGGCTTCAATTTGTGCATGAACCAAAGGCTTGGAACCAAGAACTCGAGTGGGTTATGCAAGCGAGTAAGGGGAAGAATTTGAGAGCGCAGGTTCTAAAGGCAGCATTTGCGGAGACAGTTTACGAATGTCAAAAACATAGAAATGATCAAATGTTTGGAAATAATATAAGTAATACAAGTGTAGAGCATAGGATCAAAGAAATACTAGCGTATAGATTATGGACAAAATCCTAACTACGAGAGCATGTTGCTCGATTGTTATTTAGGTAATTATAGTGTTTTGTTTTCCATAAGTTTTTTTTTTTAATTCTTTTTAACTGGATCCATTGGATCGCTATGTACATATTGTTTTTGGTTATATATCCGTTATTTTCAATAATAATAAAAATAATAATGTATTCATTTTAATATTCGTTTTTGCTATTTCTATTTTAAAATGAATGTCATTTTATTAAATGAATTTTATTTTAAAATAAATACTATTTTAACTTTTTATTAAGGATTGATTCGTTTTATTATGTCTTCTAATTTATATACTATTAGTACTTGTAAAGTATTATAATTAATTTTAAATTTATAATTATGATAAATATACCATTAAATAATAAGATTAATTTAATAAAAATATTATATATTTTACTAACTTAAATTTTTTACAAAATTTATGTATACAAATTTTAAAATAATTTACTATTATTATCGATATTGGAATAGATAAAATTTATAAGAAGAGAGGTAATTCAACGGATTTGGTAAGGTATCAAAATCATTTCATCATATTTTTATATATTAATGTGAGTCAATTATTAATATTTATAAATTAAAAAATAAAATAAAATCTCTTAATTATTATTCCATCAATATTGTTGAAATGAATTCCTCAAATGTCGATGAAAAGATAAATCCAAATGAGTATTGTAGAAGTGAATATGCTTTAATAAATCATTCATCGAACATATTTACATGTGCATGTGTATATTTTTTAATTTTTAATTTATTATTATTTTTTTTTTTACAAATATACCATATTTTTCAATTTAAAATATTAAACTGTTATAGTTTTCTCCGTAAATCCCAAAATACGAAATTTTCAAATAAAAAATTATTTCGAAGTGTATTAAATGAGTATGGCTCTTTTTTTAAAAAATTTATATTATTTTCTGCAGAATCTCTTACATAAACTTACTCTTATAAATTTTCTACAAATGTTTTTTGAAAACTAATTCTGCGGAATATCCAGCGAGCTTTTCTATAGAATTTGAACAAAAATCTATTTTAAAAGATCATATATTTCGAGAATATGTAGAAAATTTTGTATGAAAATATTTTTCAGAAAATTTCGCAAGTAGTTTTGAAAAAATCCGCACATAATTAACAAATAATTAAATAAAGAATAATATTGGCCCACCAAGCAAAAAAAAGATTATTTGAAAATGTGATAGGTTGATAATAAGTAGGAAAAATATGGTATTTTGATTAATGAATTTAAAAAGATAGCTCGGTAAAAAGGTCGCAGGTAGAAACGCAGCCTAAGGAATACAGGTCGGTACTATATTTCTGAAATATATATCTCTTCAATTCTCTATGGTTACTCCATTATTATTATTATTATTAACACAGATATAAATATCTTGTATAGATTTAAATGACTTCAAAATTATAGCAAAACAGCTCATATTGATTTATGGTAGTAATTAAGACTGTCGGCAGTACGGACACACACTTAGCTGATTTGAATCTTAGCAGTTTTTGTGCAACTAGTTTCTTTGTTCCACAGACATTTGTTAGGCTGCATATAAGTCATTCAAGGGTAGAGAAAAGGTATGGACCCTAGCTAACAGTATAACAGGCTGGCATAGCCACTATTAAATGGTAGAGGGGGCATATCATATAGAAAAGAATGTTACAGCTCATAGATGGTGTAATAAGCTATTGAGTAGTGACGATAAGGATGGAAAACAAGGGAGGAGAAGAAATAATTGTTTAACATATAGATGTAGAACAATCATTAGTTAATGTAAACATAGGTTTGGATAATTTTTTTAATTTTCTTTTTCAAATATGCATATGTATGGTAACCCTCCTCAACTGGAGCGCCACTACGCCAGAAATGACTTTTAATAGCGCAACAAAAGACAGCGCTTTCTAAAAAAGCGCTGCTAAAGGGTCATGAAAAAAAAAATAGCATACCTAAAACAGCGCTTGTTAAAAAAGCGCTGCTAATGGGGGGGGGGGGGTCAAAGAAAGCGCTTTAAAAAAGCGCTGCTAAACGGAGGGTCTACGAAAGCGCTTTTAAAAAAGCGCTGCTAAAGGGGATCATAAGGCAGACCTATAGCAGCGCTTTAAAAGCGCTGCTAAAGGGGGTCCTAAGGCATACCTATAGCAGCGCTTCTAAAATCGCTGCTAAATGCCAAAAAAAGCGCTGCTAAAGGGGGTCCTAAGGCAGACCTATAGCAGCGCTTTTAAAAGCGCTGCTAAATGCCAACAAAAGCGCTGCTATAGGTTTAAGTAGCATAAATTTAAAAAATTCCAATATTTTCACAGAATCAGAACAGTCTTCTTCTTTCTTATTTCTACTCGCGAACGTTGCCCTATTCAGAACTAGAACAGTCACCGTCGACGCATTCCGTCCGCGCCTCCGTCCGACAGCCTCCGTCCGTCGTCTTTCCTCCGGTCATTCCGTCGTCACCTCATTCTGCCGCCGTCCGTCCATTGTTACGGTATTTGAAGTTTTTCATTTTGCATTTTTCTGGATTAATGTCTTAGTATTTCATTTTTTTGGATTATATGATGTTAGTGTTACTTCTTTTCTGAGTTTTTGACTTGTTTTTGTTGATACCGTTGATGAAAATTACTCGTTTGATATTGGCTTGAGTTTTGTATACAAGGTGTTTGTTGAAATGCCACAATGAATTTACTTATGTTAACTTTCATTATATCTAGCCGTATACAAGGTGTTTGCTGAAATGCCACACCTTATATGAGTTCTTTTTACTAATAATTTTTATAAGGGAAATACTGCACATATATTCAATGATTTTTTAGATTATGTTGCTTTAGAAACTTCACACTATTTGTGATTTAGATGAAAGCTTTAAGTTTCTGTTAATTTTGAAATTTATTTATTTTTCTTAATCCTTATTTTTCTATGAAATAGTCTAAATTCACAAATAATCCTTATTTATTTATTAAATTTTAAAACATAAATATATAGATCCGACAACTTTTTTGAAATAAAGTTTGTTTGGCGAGTTACACAACATTTAATGAATTCACGTGTCTTCATGAATGTGGATATAGTTTTAGAATGTATAGATCATTCATACAGCTTTATGTTTGTATATGTATAATGATATTTGATGTTGCAGCATTACATTGTATCAAAATCTATATTTTGAGGGACTATATCTTTCGTCTTCTTCAATTGCAAGTGCCATGATCAATCTTATTCCCGGAGTTACATTTTTAATAGCAGCCTTTGTAGGGTAATTAATAACTAACTTAACTTATATTTGTTAGTCAATCAAAATTCAAACCAATAATAATATGTTTCTTTGAATATTTTACAGAATGGAAAAAGTAAATATTAGAAGTTTGAGAACTATAGCCAAAATTGTGGGGACTTTGATATGTATTTGTGGAGCTTTGTCTATAGTATTGTTGAAGGGTCCAAAACTATTAAATGCAACGATCATACCTTCAAAATCAATCATGGCTGGAAGTGATACTGATAAGAATTGGTTGCTAGGATGTGTTTTTCTTTTGGCAAGTAGTGTTGCCTGGTCATTTTGGCTAATTTTGCAAGTACTTAATTTCAGTACAATCAAAGTCTTAAATAACGGTCTATGCTTACGCGATTTTAGTCGGCACAGGTGTTAGTGGTTGTTGCGGATGTGAATTAACCATAATTAATTCCTTATCATAAAAACCGTCAATAACAGAATCAATAACAAAATCAATATCGGTACCATCAGAGACTGTTTTTTAAAATCTTAATAATTAATACTTATGATATAACTATTATTCTATAAACATATAACATTTCACCCTTATATATTTTTCAGGTTCCAGTTTACAAAAGTCATCCTAATTATTTATCACTGTTAGCTTGGATGTGTTTCATTTCAACATTACAATCAGCCGTAGTGACAGTATTCTTGGAGCCAGACCTTAATGCATGAAAGATTAATTCTCTACTTCAATTTGGTTCCACTTTATATGCGGTAATTTTTCATGATGATACACACCAATATTTATACATCATAATCCTAGATAATTTGTAATAAATATATTTTGTAGGGAATTATGGGATCAGCGGTTATGTTTTGTCTTCAAGCATGGTGCATAACACAGAGAGGACCTCTTTTCTCTGCATTGTTTAGCCCTCTTGTGACAGTGATTGTGACTGTATTGGCTGCTTTGGTACTTCATGAGGAAATATATATTGGAAGGTAATGATAATGAAGATTAATTCTATAAATACATATTTAATTATTAATCTGATTAACAGAAACTTCAAATAAT